ACTTAAATTTAGGAATTTTTAGACTCATACAGAAAAAAGGTTAAAAAAGATAAAAAGAAATAAACCTGAGTATGACTTTTTTTAGTAATCTTATGCACACACAGACAAATAAACTAACGCTACTAAAAACACAACCTCCATGGCAGAGTTGAAGATATAAATTATTGATAAAAAATAAAACTAATTTAATTGCAACAAATTAAAATTTATTGATGCATTGTTTTTATATTTTTAGCAATTTCACTTCTTTTTCATTGCACTTGTGCAATACAGTTTACAGTACACTTCATTATTATAGAAAAGGCTGGAAGAATATGTTTTAAATAAACTAAGAGTTCAGACTTAGTTTTAAGGATATTAGTATTAGTAAAAAAAATTTAGTAGAAATACAGTAAAAAATAGAATTTGAATAAAACTATTCAGTTTTGTTTGTATGAGAATAAATGCAATTTTAAAAATCAAATCACATTTATGCCTTTTATTTTAGTAAATGAGATATAAGCTTGCTACCCTTTTTTAAAAATCAGTATTTACTTTATTCATGGTTAAAAGCTTAAATGCTTTATGAAGTTCAATGAAAATGTAGTTTTTATTTACTTTGTTTTAGGGGAAAGAGTCAAACAACTGTAAAACTTCATGACCCTACATTAACATAGTAATAGTTATTATAAATTACAAAACGATTATAGCTTGTTTTTAACCTTCTCTATTTGTAATAACACCTATTTTCAATCGTGGTATTGCCCTCTATCGCCATCTAGTGGGCTTGATGAGGTACTGCAGAATACTAAAGTTCCCAGAGCAGCAAACCATGCTTCAAAAACCCTCCCAGTCCTTTTATTTGTCTTCACAGTCGTGTTTTTTAGGGTTGACTGAAACACCCAGAAGTTTCAACTGGTGACAGCATACTACCACACAAAGCCACTGTTTCCTTCCCATGTCAGTTTCTACACATGGGGCAAATAGGTGAAGCAGGTCTAACAACCTTTAAAACCATATTTGTTCCCCAGTTAACACTTCTGAGACTGCAGGGAAAGGACTTCATTTGTTTTTGTGAAACTCTGATATGATGTGCCTGAGAAACACGTAATAATGCCCCTTTAAATCCAAAAATAGAGGTAAACAGGTAACTGCATACCCAGTGCTTTAAATGCAGACGAGTCTAAGCTTTGGCATCAAGTTCTACCTTGTTTTAGCCACAAAATGATCATCTTTAATTGTTAATTCACAGCATATAATTGCATGTCTATATTTTGGCATTATTTTTAATAGCCTCTGAAATGAGAAAGTTCACCTGATTAGACCATTGTACAAATTATTGGTTCCTTTATTGTTTCCCTCTGTGCAGAATTATCTCCTGCACCGTATCCATGAAGTACTACGTGGAGGAGAACGTGTCCCAAAGATCTTGCACCACCATTCGCCATGTCGTCAAGGTGTTGGCCACTGTCTCTGAAATGCTCATCTTCTTCTTCCTGGGCGTTGTCACCATAAGAACAGATCACCAGTGGAACTGGGCCTACATCTTGTTCACGCTGCTGTTCGCCTTCATGCGGAGGGGTCAACTGATCGACTTCTTATTTCAAGATTGTGGAGGATCAACTTTAGCCAACACAGATATGAATTTAATTTAGTTATTTTAACAGATATTGAGCAAAAAATTGATGTGGCAGTAGCTGAGACTTCTTCACAAGAAGTGCCAACAGATCACAAAATTTTGCAAATACGTTCCTTTAAATAAAACTTAAACCTTTCATTTCTCATTTAAATTGGCTCAATGTCTTTCCGACACTCACTCTGCGGGCATTCTGGTGCTGACCCAGATCGTCAACCCCTTTCAGACAATCCCGTTCAGTTTAAAGGACCAGTTTGATCTGGCCTACGGAGGCCTGCGAGGGGTGATCTGCTTTGCTCTGGTCTTCACCTTATCAGAAAGCATCAACAGGAGGAACCTGTTTGTCACAGCTTCAATAGCCATTATTATTATATTTACTGTTGCTGTTCAGGTAGGCAACACCCTCGAGTCTTCTTCATTGCTTTAATCAAAACGTATCTTTTTCTGGCTTCTGTTCGACAAGTAAAATTCTCTATAACACAAATTAATTTTGGTTTGAAAATTAAAAGAACTCTGATGACAGCTTTAGGTTCAGTGGTTATTGGTCTCTGGGAAGGTTTATAGAGTGATGAAGAGGAAGTAGGAATGCGATGTCCTGCTCGCAGAACATCATCAATCAGTTCTTCCTGGCAAGTCATTTTGGGGACGCATGGAAATTTTGCCCAATCAGTCTTCATGTGTTTTATTGGTTCGGAGCAGTTTCAAAGTAGCACCTCACAAAAATAAATAAATAAATAAATGCTTTAATGTTTAAGGCTTGCAAAACAGTCTTATATGCTGTGCATATTATTTGATTGCCCACATCTGACCCACCTTGATCTGCTTTGCACCCACCTCAGCAGCTTTCATCATGTTACCATTTTATCTGCTGTAGCTCACTTTTGAAACGAAGATAAGGCAGATTTAGACCATAGTTGTAGTCATTGCTTATTTTGCTGTACACATATTGTGCTGACATACTCCATTAGATATTCGACATTTCCTCCATGGAAATACACTGTTATTGTTCAATTCCTTCAACTTCATTGTTCTCTTTGAAATTTGCTTTAGTTACTGGCCTAATCTTCTTTTGCCGTTTTTAGCTTCTGACAAGCCTTTTTGCTACTTTTAGCTTTTAGCTAGTGATTTGATACTTTTCACTTTTGATCTGTCTTTTGCTAATTTTAGATTCTAGCTACCCTTTTGATACTTTTACATAATGTCCTGATGCATCTCAGTAATCCAGGTAGAAAAATTAAAAAGAAAAATAAGTAGGTCCTTTGAACAGGTTCGTCTTTAATCATTTCGTCTCTCCTCCAAGAGACTAGAGGTGCAACAATACATGTACCCGTATCGAACCGTATCGAACAGTGCTGTATGGAACAATACAGATTTTAAAATTTACTTTATCAACTTGTCTTCTGAAGATGCTCTGTGTTGAAGGATCAGTGGATCTGTGTTCGACTACTCCACCTAGGCTGCATTTTTGAGCACAGATCCACTGAGAAACTTGCTGTTTCAGCAACATTTAATTTAAAAACTGTACTTTTGAGGTTAAACAAATGGTCATAATTAATTTAAATCAATTACAAGTTAAAAGGGGCATGGAAATTTTTCTTTTTTGTATCGAAAAAATATCGAACTGTGAGACTAAAGTATCGAACCGAACTGTGAATTTCCTGTATCGTTGCACCCCTACAAGACTTTTTCAATCTGCAGAGTTTTTTTTTTTCATTTGTCTTTTGACTAATGAAAAATCTTTTAACTTTTAGCTAACCTTTTGCTACTTTCAGACATTAGCCACCCTCATGCTACCTTTGTCTAGCTGGCCTTTTCGCTGTGTATCTTCTAGCTAGACTTTGGTTTCTTTTAGCTTTTAGTTAGCCTTTTTCTTCTTTTAGCTCCTAGCTATTTGCTACTTTTAATTAACCTGTTGCTACAGATAGCATTTACCTTGCCTATTGCTACTTTTAACACATTATTTATTATCAGAGTGCTTAGTCCTAGACATTGGGAGTTGTGGACTGAGATGTTTTCAGTCAGAGGAGAGTTCTCATGTAATACAGTGTGGAATATCTGGTAATTGAGAAGACAGGTTCCTGACACCCTGTGACTGTTTTGAGGAAAAAGTTGTTGAATGTATTGAAAAAATATGCAGCAAAACTTTTGAGTCTCTGAAACTCATGAAAGACGACTGTAAATGATTTAAAACCCTTCAGAGACTCCCTGCTGAACGTTGTTGTTGTTCTGCTGTTCGATAACTGGTTATCAACAGTTGTAGCCTGGTGAGATAATGGCTTTAGGCCTTCTGGAAACCAAAGAGAGACATTCCAGACTGTACTGGGAGGAGATCATGGGGAGGACCCAGCAGTGCTGAAGAGATTTTATTTAAGAGTCCCTCTGAGCTGGAGGAGTTAGTTGAGTAGGTCTGGAAAGCCCCGGTGAAGCTGTTGTCCTTTGACCTGGTTTCAGATCAGTAGGTGATGAATGGATGGAAAGTTATTTGATTTGTTTCTGTAACAGTGACCCTTCATATCTGTAGGGCATCAGCATCCGTTCCACAGTGGAGTGCCTCAACATCAGAAGGACCAACAAAGATCTGAACACAATCAGTGTAGAGATCCACACCAGGGCAAGTGTCAGCTTTTATTCTCTCTCTCTCTCTCTCTCTCTCTCTCTCTCTCTCTCTCTCTCTCTCTCTCTCTCTCTCTCAATCTCTCTCTCTCAATCTCTCTCTTTCAGTCTCTCTCAATCTCTCAACCTTTCTCTCTCTCTCTCTCAAACTCTCTCTCTCAATCACTCTCTCTCTCTCTCAAACTCTCATTCTCTTTCAATCTCTCTCTCTCTCTCTCTCTCTCTCTCTCTCTCTCCCTCTGTCAATCTCTGTATCTGAAACTCTCTCTCTCAATCTCTCATTCTCTTTCAGTCTCTCTCAATCTCTCAACCTTTCTCTCTCTCTCTCTCAAACTCTCTCTCTCAATCACTCTCTCTCTCTCTCAAACTCTCTCTCTCTCTCTCTCTCTCTCTCTCTCTCTCTCCTCTCTCTCTCTCTCTCTCTCTCTCTCTCTCTCTCTCGTCTAGATC